AACTCATAAAAATTCAAATCAAATCAATCTAGTAAAGGTTTACCTAAGCACTGTTCTTGATTTGGCTAATTGTTCTGAAACGACTTAAAACAAAGCATATATGTTAGCACAGAGGGCAGGGGAATGATAATTGATACAAACTGTGTTTTATGCTTGCAAACCCCATACAAGGAGAAGAATGCAACTCTTTAATTGGTACCGTCCTTGTCTGAAAGCGCTTTGTCCAGCTTAGCAAATGGAAGGTCTGAGGCCGTAGCAAGTAACTCCGATTAAATCCGGCATAAGAGTAAACTGGCGGAGATGTAGCCAGCGGGAAGAAGGTGAACGTTGGGGACTTTGGGTTGGGCTTTTGGTTTTTTGGACCAAAGGGTTAGGTTTGTATGAACGGTTTTTGGTTTCTCATTTTGAGCCGTCAATGTTTTTATATTTTATTTTATTCATGGACGCCATCAATGTAAATTTAATTTTAATAAATTACAGTATTTTTACAGTTTTGAATATAACATATGCTATTTTAAAAAGTATTATACAATTTAAACTACTAAATATGATATTAATTACCCTCTTTATCTAATTATTATTATTTTATTTTTATAGTTTGATTTTTACCTTTTTTTATATTCCAATAACTGAACTACTATGTTTGAAAGAAAAAAAAATCAAACTTTTTAATCCGTGTTCTTTTATTAAGAGGGATATTAAGACTTAATTGTAACAATAAATATAAAAAAATAGTTTTAAACTTAATATATCAAAAATTCTTTATCATCCTTTCCTTTTTTTTTTTGTTACATGTGAAAGGAAATAAATTAACTAACTAATGGCGAGGAAAAGCAACGCCCATCATCCTTTCCTTTATTATCCTTTAAGGGTTATTAACAGATTGATCCAAGTATCCAACAGTCGTTCATCCATCCATTGCTCTTCTGCAAGAAAGGTTCAGACAGTTGGAGAGAGCCAAGGAGATAAGGCAGGAGAAAGAGCTCTTACAGATGTTCCCTGAATCAAGGCAGATCAATGCAGCTATGCCTTATGTGCCATACAGATCGCTTTTACACCTTGTACTCATGCTTCAGTCAGAGGTGCCTCTTCAGTGTACACTTAAAAGATAAGCTAGTCTGCAGAGTAAGAATACCCAGGTTCAGATCATTCAGACTCCAATGTTGGAGAATTTATGGTCCAGAGACACCGTCATATGCACAACTGACAATGATGATATTTCAGATGTTGATACTTCATCTGTGAAAAAGTATTACAACGTTAGTCTACCTAGTAATCCTGTGGTTTCCTTCCGTTTGTTCTTCATGGGGCAGTAAGAATATGGGAACGAAAAGAAGGAGCTAGAGAAAAGAAAACAGAATATGTAATGTAGCTAATGGCCATTATCTTATGTATCTTCAGAACAACAGAGCAATCAGAAAGACAGAAGTTGGAACTTTATCGTAATGAAAAATCTCAACACAATGGATGATTATGTTTAAGTAGACTTTCAATATGAGGCTTTGCACATACCCCAACAGTTCCGCCATATCCATTAAGAACAACAGCCATGTGAACCTTTCTGATCTAGAATTCTCTAAGATTCCACACTGACATTGAATCTGCAAAACCAATTTTTCTAAATTTTACTGTATAGATAATTGAAGCCTTCTATTTTTTCCATTTTCTTTTCCCCTAGACAATAACTACTAAAACAACAACAAATCAGTCTGCTGAAACAGGGTCTCCTTCACTTCAATTGATTACAAAAATCAAAAAGGAAATGATGTCTTCACATAAAATGTGGATAATATTGCGTGAAAATGGAGTAAT